GGTACGCATTCTAGCAGTTCCTACAGTCAGTGCTAATTTAGGTAAGGTGCTGTTTTTCCTCAGCACTGAATATCTCGCTCAGTACTGCACGCCAAAATGCTCATAGAGTTCAGTGCAGTTAAAGCTGAGTTCACACTGTTTGTGCTTGCGCCCACAGACCATTTCCCATCAGAACATGGGGGTGGACTGTTATGCTACACTGCCCTCTGCTGGACCAATAAACTTAATGCCTTCAGAAAGAAAGTCAAAATTACTGTAGTCTTTTTCAACATTTCTGCATTGTTCAATTGTTAAGATTTAAAAAAAAAGTCACTCAGGATAGTTTGATGTAAACTGCACTACAGGCTTTCTGAGATATTTCACGGACAAGGTGATACAAACCAGGCCTGTGAAGTGTTTAATGCCTCTAAAAGCTCCCTCAAAGAGGTTCCTCATGACATAAAAATACACTGCCTGGTGACTGAGGTTTGGTCCACAATAGTTTTGAGAGAAGCTTTTGGCCTAAATATGTCTTTAAATAATACACTCATGACAGAGAGGTACATAGAGGGTGATGTAAAGTATAAGTTTACCATCACCAACACTACACATAAAAACCCAGTAGACACATGTATGTTTACTGGTCATTTTAGGTAGAAAATAAAATGGCTGCCTTTGCGCAGCGGACCTTATGGCCCAGGGTTCCCATCACTACTACTGAGCCCGCATGCAATTTCACAAAGCGCAATTTGCCGTGCTTAAACTGGATTACTTAAACCCAACATGAAGACTACCCAATAAGAATGTCCCTTAGCTCTCCTGTAATTGGACAGGCTTGATTTTAGGCTCAAGTTATCTGGCTAACTGAGAAATCTGCTTTGTGAAATGTCCCCTCTGTTTTAACTATTCAACACAAAGTTCTTCATTGAAAACCCTTTTCATTCTGGCACAAGGTTTAGTCTCTTTCAGAGTAATAGATTCTGAGACACTTATCCAATTCACCGATGAAGCCCAGAGACATCCTGTAGGACACAGCACAGTTTTGGGCTAAATCTGAATATACTTGATAAATAACCTGTTAATGTCTATATCTGAAATTTTAAAAGTGGTCCATATGTTCTCTAAGCGTGACCGAGGGCAAATCTGAAGACCACACCTTGTGGTTAAAATTGAATTTTTAATAATATATCATATTAAATTCAGTCTTTCAGTCACATGTACCTGCTGATTTTTGCTAAAGAAACAGAAAAACAAAATTTGATTGTGAATAAAAGTGTGAAAATTACATGTAATACAAATAAAATCACATTTTCATCCAAGTGTAACTACATTTGTATGCAAAAGTTAAATTACATGTTTGGTTGATTTTCTAAGTGAAAGTAAGTTAACATGTCCTCTATGGGGGATAGACTTAAATATCACATTTTTTCTGCAACTCTTTCTGCACAATTTCTACTTTTTGCTGTGTTTAACATACACAGATCAGCCATAACATTAAAACCACCTCCTTGTAACTACACTCATTGTTCATTTTATCAGCTCCAATTACCATATAGCTGCACTTTGTAGTTCTACAATTACAGACTGTAGTTCATCTGTTTCTCTGCATACTTTGTTAGCCCCCTTTCACTCTGTTCTACAATGGTCAGGACCTCCACAGGACCACCACAGAACACGTATTATTTTCGGTGGTGGATCATTCTCAGCACTACAGTGACACTGACATGCTGGTATGAGTGGATCAGACACATCACTAGCTAGATAGCTCATCTGTTGCTGCACAGTTTACTCATCCTAGTCCTTCATCAGTGGTCACAGGACGCTGTTGGCTGGATATTTTTAGTTGGTGGACTATTCTCAGTCCAGCAGTGACACTGAGGTGTTTATAAACTCCAGCAGCACTGCTGTGTCTGATCCACTCAGACCAGCGCAACACACACTAACACACCACCACCACATCAGTGTCACTGCAGTGCTGAGAATGATCAACTACCCAAATAATACTTGCTCTGTGAGGGTCCTTTGGGGGTCCTGATCATTAAAGAACAGGGTAAAAGGGGGCTGACGAAGTATGCAGAGAAACAGATGGACTACTTCTTCTTAGAGTAGGAGTGCTGATCTAGGATCAGATTCCTCTTCTATTTACAATACCTTTACTGACAGAAGCAGTTCCTAGATCAGCCCTCTTAATCTGAGAAGCTTCATAAATACAGGCTCAGATCCAGGTAACCAAGGCCTGTAAGAGCTTCTGAACATTAGAGCTAGGTGTACTGGAGAGTATTGGGACTCTTGGAACACTTGGGCACCCCTGTTTTAGACCAACCAGAATGTTCTATGACATTATTTCCTTATCATACTATATTCAGTTGTTAGACATGAATGTGTTAATGAGAACAAATAAGGAAGGATATTCCAGAACCATTTGTCACGTTACCTCACTTTCATGAATGCTGATCTAAGATCTGTTCCAGTAAAGCCACAGTACATCTGATCCTAGATCAGCACTCCTACTCTGAGAAGCTTTGTGAATATAGGCCTAGACCTAATCTGTAAGCCTACATTCATTTAACTCTTTACTGCACAGCATGGCATAACATGATGTAAGGTCTTGGCAAGGTGGTATTGATGTGTGATGCTGCTCATATTTGCTTTAGGTAAACATTCAAAAAATAACACAGTAAATCACTGCCTGATTAACCAACTTCATTGAGAAAACAAAGAACTGAATTATGGGCCTTATGGCTCCAATTGCTTCATTGTACAATAATAAAACGCTGTGCAATTTTCAGTTATGTGGCTGATAAAGCGTTTAATAAAGGTGTAACAATTTCAGTGTTCATTTTTTTTAATGAACACTTAAAAGTGTTGAAAATTTTAAAACTACAGCTGATACTCCCCTCAGTCTCATCTGAGGGTCTGACGTCTTTCGTGGAAACCATAAACAATGAAAAAATTGGAATAGTGACACAGTTAATGGTTAGTGACGTCATAAATGTTGCACATATTTTCATTCCATTTCAAGGAGCTGAAGAAGAAGACATGCTATATATGAGGCAGGTCAGGTTCTGATATTGTTTATATGCTGAGGTGGAAAATGCTTCAGTATTATTCTGGAAGATTTGTACTTTACTCCACTGTTATTGAAATTGAGAACTCTATTATATTAAAACGAGAGGAAAACATGTTTTACCCCTTACATTTTCACTGAGACCTTCAAATGACTTAAATCTTGCAGATCAGGTTATTTTTCACGTTGAGTTCCAGCACAATTATTTATTTGGATTTATGAACTCCAAACTCATATCAGTATAAAGTGAAAGTGTCGGTTTGTCTTTGGGCACGTGTTAAAATGCAAAAGTTTCACATTTAACAGAGTACAATTTTGACCTCTATTTTTACAAAAGGGGAACTCCACCAATTTTTCAAAATTTCTATTTAATGGGTAAGAAGTAAAACAACATCATTCAGAGTGGCTTGGTGTAAAATGCTCTATTCTCGAGAGACTTACAGAGTCAAAAATTGTTGTACAGTAGTTTTGTGATAAAAGATTGGCTTAAAACATCTTGTTTATCCATATATTTGAACACATTCATGGTAGAGGTGTACATGTAGGGTGTTGTACGTCAAAATAATCCCCAAAGAAAATGCTTTTTTTCAGGTTTTCCACTATTTTACCATCTTCAACATCAAATGTAAAAACTCAAAAGATACTGTTCTGCCCAAGGACATGCTACTTTGAAATCTTGACTTTCATTTCTTCATAAAAACAAACTGTGTAGTATATAATTATATAATGATCTGTAAAATCAAGACAACTTTAATAAATAATATTGAAAATTAAACCAGCTTTTGCCCTCTGAATCGAAAATCATATAAAGTCTTAAAATATCATAATACCAGTAAACTCCAGGTGTGTAAAGACTTCAGCAGTTCCTCCATTTTACAACAGTGATCAGTTGTGTACTATCAATAGGCTGATCAGCTGTGGGTAAAAGCAGAACATAGGAAGCAACTGAACTAGCCATAAATGTGGGCACTTCTGCACAATGAGCTTTTGAAAGTATTGTAAACACTTGTGAAGAACAGCAGTTAGTTTTTTTTTCCACCTTTAACATGTATTGGCTAATAGTGTGACACATTCTTAACATAACCAAGAAGCATTCAGGTTACATAGGCTTCATGTTGATCGTGTGGTAGCTGTTTCTTCTAAAAGAAACCCACCCTAACAAGATCTCTCTCTTATCTTCAAAGGCGTTATTTTACGGATATGCTTTGCATGTTCATTTTTCAGATCACAGGATCTGCCAAGCAAGGCTTGAAGAAATTCATTTACTTGTTTATCTTTCAGGCCTACACATAAAACTTTCTACAGATAGGCTGAAGATAAGTGAATATGTGCTGATCTGCATTATTCGAACCCCACACCCACTCCAAACTGGTGAAAACACTCATATCTTAAACACACACACACACACACACACACACTTTCTTAAAGAATGATGTCTTTTAAAGGGACCAAGGGTCAAGGTCTACAAAGCAATAGCCATATCAGTTTTTATTTACTACCCAAAACAACAGGGAACCTACATGTCTTCTTAGTTTTATATATAGTGCTGATAATGGTAAGAGTGTAGTAAATTGTTTAAAAGAAAAAGGGTTTTGGGGCCAAAACGTTCTCAAACCTATCATGAAAAAAAGATTAAATAATAACAGGCAACATATTAATAACAGTTTCATAGATTGCTGTAAGTCAGCTTTTGGAGGCATTAAATACTTCGGACGTTTGGTTCCTATCACCGCCACTGTAAACAATTCTGATCCGGTAATTTTCTCTATAATAGCCAATTTCACATCCAACCACCCTGAATGACTTTGTTTACATCTTAAATGATTTAGGTATGCAAAAATATTTGACAAATTGGTGAAATTACCCTTTAACTTAGCAACGTAAGTCGATTAAAAGAAAGACACGTGAATCACTTAGCGTTAGTGAGAAAATCGTACAATAGAGACTCAAAAAGGCAAATGGAAAAAGACACCGTGTTTATTGTAGACACCAAACTGCCTGAAAAAAATCAGGACTGTTTAAAAAATACTTCGTTACGAAGCATACAAACAGTGTACAGAGTGAAAGCAGAGAAACAAGCGAACTCCACGCAGGAATCCTAAAAGCACCAGTGTCTCTGTTGTGATTGATTGATAGTCTCCACGTCTCTCCCATTCAGATAGCAAACGCTGGGCTTAAGCTCAAAAATGCCCAAGTACCGGGCTTATACTCAAAAATGCCCATGTAGTCCATATATTTCCTACAATGAAACTCGCTGGAGAAAAAAAAGTCCACGTGATGTGTAAAAAAGGCCCTCTGGAGTCCAAAAAAGTCAACAAACAGTGAAAGGGGGCATCTCACTGTTCAGACTGAGCATAAACAAAATGTTGGCGAGTCCCAGCTGATGGCCCATCGCCATAATGAGGCATCGAGCTTTCATGTTGTACACTCGGCTAACGAGGGCACACAGCGCCAAACCTCTGATTTGCTACTCGAACGAGGTACACCATACGTTTGGTAACTTAGGTCATCAGCTTGCTAGACAGTAACACGGTTACAAAAACACAAATGAACACACAGTGTGTGTGTGGAGTTGAAGACAAACAGTCTGTCTTTCACATTTCATTCAGAGAGGAGACGTTGGTCACAGCTAACGTTAGTATGACTGTTTGCAGTGACCCAGAATTTCAAACAAAAACACGAGTAACCAAAGGCCGAGATTCAGGTCCATTTTCTACCCGACACCATACAAAACATTATGTTTTTAGTAAAGTTCATTTTTACAAACCTCCAGAAAACATCAACGTATGACTATAAGTCGTGTTAGCTGGTTAACTCGCTAAGCTAGCTAGCCATCTAGCCAGCTAACGACGTTTACACCCCCACATGTATAATAATCACCTAGCCAGCTCAAACCAACACGCCAGTGAAGAGAGTGAAAAGCCCGTGCTGCGTTTTCAAAGGCAATCTCAGTCTATTTGTTTGGCGAAATCGTGTTCCGACTCCGAGGAGAACTGAAGTCGTCGGACTGCTTCTTTAATCAGATTTCCAGACAATATCAGTTCTTGGAGCAGTTGATGGGGGTCGTCCTCGCCACTCGTAACATCGATTCCTTTTCGGTTCCACGTTTTAAAATGGTCCCACTCCTGATCGCTGGATCCCGGTATGTTGTACGGGCTTGCTCGGCTCCGTAAATTTCTGCTCCGGAGGCGGATACAGCAGCCGTTTCGCCTCGGGTTGCCCGTACTGCCACTGCTCTGCTTGGAGCTGCTGTGGCCGCCGCCGCTGTTGCTGCTGCTGCTGTTGGCGAGACCGTGCAGACACGACATCGTCTGGCTGGCGCTATTGTTGTGAAGCTGTAAAGCTTCGCCGATTTTTGTCACAAGAGCGTCCACCTCTTTAGAATCCACCGTGACGGACTGCTCCAGAAAGATGTAGTTCTCCTTTCGGCAAGGCATTTTGGCGTGTTTATCTCTAGTCTGGACGCTGGTTTTTCGAACCAAATGAATGGCAGCGCAAATTGCCGGCGTCCACGTTCACCACGCTGCCCGACAGAAAGCAGCTCCGGTCGTTGGTTTGTAAACAATGGGTGACGCAGCAGGCGGAATGTACCATCTGACTGGGAGACAGGAGCGCGTTGTGCGATTTCGAAATCATATAACTAACGCCCGCGGTGCTTAAAATACAACACGTCCCACTACGTTTTCACTTTATGACTGTTTAGGTGCTGGACCTAGCACGATGTGTTTCTCGTTAAATTCCCGTCAGTTGTTGATATTCCAGAACCCCCACTTTACCTCCATTACAGACCCCCACGTCTTCAAACCAAACAGCATTACATAAGAGCAACTGCAGGCTATAGGAACACTGTAGACAATGTGGAGGGTTAAGGGCTTCGCATTCCGCCATGCTGGTTTGAAATGGTTTGAGCTACTGTTACGAGCTTGACACCGTAACAGTAGAAGAGCCCTTTTTGGTGCTGTATACAACTATATATAACCATTTTCAAAAAGGATCTATATAGAACCATATACAATACATTCTCAGTCAATCTGAAGAACCATTTAAGCATACAAATGACTATATATAAAACTTATGGTTCTAAGCAGAACCATTGCCTTCACTGAAGGACCCTTGAAAAAACATCTGTTTTTAAGTGTGTACTTAATTTCTCATCTCGGCAAGCGCAAATAAAACTGACCTGTAAGCAAAAAGTCAATGACCTATGACTTTATTTTGTCTGCTTGAACACCTTATGTACTAGAATGGGGCTACGGTCCATATTTTAACTTAATAAATCCAAAGGCATAAATAAAGAGTTGCATATTCCAGGATCTAATGGGCACCAGTGCAAAATAAGTAACCTGGCCCCTCATACCGATATTAAATTCAATTAATGAAACAAATACAATGTTATTTGCTTGGTTACTCACTACTATTATGTCTTAAACATGTTAATGTTTCCAAGGCATGCCACTCCACCCACTAGCATCTAATGTTAACCTCATTAAAATAATGAATAGATCATACTGCAGGTGGTGAAAGATTCTGTTTGAACACAGTTACCATGGATGCATTATGAACACGAGGCAGATAAATGGACATGTTTTCTGTGTAGCATTGATAGAAGCTAACTAATGAGGTATGTTGGATCTTTCTGTACGTCTTGTGTACAGTTGGGTCAGTATCTATATAAGGGACCCAATAAAGATTTTAGCGGCATGCAGCTTTGTGCCATGGGCCCCAGTGCGATCGCACCCCCCTGCTCCCTCAGTAGTTACGCAACAGAGCAGGACATATTTCAAGAGATGAGTCTGGTGTAAAGACTCTTGCCATTTTCTAAATGCTACAAATATTTTCATTATCTTTAACTTAATTATATCAGAACCTATTTAGGATGTGTTCAAGCTCATATTGAAGCTTAAACTGAAGCATGTTTTTGGCTTCTTAAGCTTGTAAACCATTTAGTGCAGTTTCTGCTACACTTGCTACCACTTTTACCACTTCCTCTTCCAGTTAGAAGAAAAAGGCTTGGTTCTCAGAGACGTTAGCGGAACCCAGACACTATCAGAACCCACTTTCTATTTTACTCCATTTCCTCTGACTTGTGGTCGTACGTTGTTTGTTTTTGATGGCATTCAATTTGGTTCATTTAAACATAAGACTTTAAGGGGCTTTAAGTAATTTAAAGCCATTTAATCAAGTTTGCATATAATTAGCCATGTTTTTACCTCATTTAATTGTGCTATTCCGTTCCAATCCTCACACGTGCATTCCAAATTATCATGTAGACTACTATCAAAGAAGAGGGTGTAGTCAATCAAAAGATTAATGTCTTATATGACATTTCTGATTGACATTATGAATAAATGTGTTGACAGTTTGTGGACATTGAAAGAACACACTCATGTATCGCTTTACTGAGCTTAATGGTTTAGAGTTAGCATTAGCTAGCACCAGTCTCAGCTAAGGATTACATGATGCACTGTCATTAGATGTAAGAGAGAGGATGGATGAGGAAGTGAAGCCTCCTGGGTGTTAAATAGACAGCTATTCAGCTATAATGTAACTTATGTAACATTCCAGATATTCTAGATATTCCTGTTTTTTACTGCCCTGCAAGTAACATTACATGAGGAAGTGTAGCATTAACAGAATAATGGCTCAATTGATTCTTTTTGTTTACAGCGAGGACAAAAAGAGTAGGAAATTGCACACAGCCACAGGGAGAGCTGCGAAGAGCACAGGCTCAGACATTAAGTGCGATGTGGAAGGAGCCGCCAAGCAACTGCTGGTGTGCCGTTGCTCCGTGTTTTAGTCATCAGCGTGCCCATGGGGGTTCTGCTTCTCAGTACTATCCTTCTTGAAAAACAACTGCTCTCTGTATGGTTACTCAGGCCATCCTCTCTCATTTAGCCCTCTTCACTCACTGTGGGTGTACAGACTCACTGGAATTGTCTGGGCCGCTACATCTGTCATACTAAGATTAGATCTGAATTGGCTCACAATACAAATGAACCCAAAGCTCTCCATGATGTCAGCTGCCAAAGTTTCACTCGGAGTTTTATTATCTTTTTTTAGTGTTCCAGTTTAGATAAATGTTCTATGTCCATTCAATGTAACGGAAAGGAGTCATTGCCGTGTTTCTCTATGACATGGCTTACGGTATTTGGGTGATCCCATGATTGGCGTGCCATTTTGCCCTTGAAATTTCATAAAAGAAATTTCACTTTACCAGTAATGAACATAAATGGACAAACCCATCTCAGTAATATCTACATTTTTTTCACAGGGTTTCTTTGCTGACAGTGGCTTAAATGAGTAACAGAATCTAAAGTGACAGGTTGAGTTTTTCTTTAGTTACTGACTTAGTAAATACACCAAATGTGATTATATGCTAATGTAATAAGGACATTAAGGACATTGTAATGATTTAGAGCTACACTATCTTAGCTACACTATTTTTGAACTACACCATATAAGATTTGGGGATTTGGAGACCTCTCTGGTGGAAATGTGTAATTGCATGCAACATGCGGAAGAACATTTTGTAACTATTGTCATCGTATCTTCATTAGTATGATTTTCATTTTGCGTTTGAGACTTAAACATCAAGGCAGATTTTCTTTTTGAGCCTGTAAAGACGTATGACGTGATCAGCAAAATTCTAGCTACTGACTCTTAAATAATTATTTCAGGCTTTACAGGTCGACTCGCAGCAGAGCATGGACACCATGTCTTTTTACTCAGCAATACTACGTCTTTCAGGATTAATGAAAAGTCTTATATAAGGTTGTTTAAAATATATATTTTCTAAAATGAATACATTATTTTCTATCTAGCATTTGAGTAACAGAACTGTACTTTTAAAGTGACTGTGTCAGTCAGTATCACAATGCATTTGAAGGACAAATTCTTATGATTTTCAGGATATTTGGATGATGAAACTTCCTGCTGAGCATGTGATATTTCATAGGAGTGAATGTGTTACATAACTTGAGGCTTGAGTCAAATGTTGAGGTACACATAGAAAATGTACAATTTTCATAACCCTGTAATTGCAGTTCTGTAAGTGTAGTTTCTAGTGGGCTGGAACAGTCAACAATACTGTTTTCTAAGCTCTGTATATAGTTTATATAAATGTTTTAAGTTATTTATATGAAATGTGCACATAGGTTGTGGTTGTTTACAATGTATTTTACATTTGCATATTCTTTATATACATATTTGTGAATGTAATATCTGTAGGACACAATTGGCACCCCAGTTGTCTTTACTGCAGCTTTGTCTAAATGGGCAGGCGTTATGGTTCTAGCTGAGAAACACTCAACAGACACACCACTGTGGTCTAGTCTGCACAGACCTGCCTAATCTTTTGTACACATTATGTAATGCTATCATAAAGCAGACCTGCTGTGGAACTGCATGTTCTTTTCAGGCAATCTGGCCCTATTCTGATATCTGTTTTAGGGTGTGCTGATGTTCGTTAAATGTGCAGAAACAAAAACCGTGAAAGTGTCTCAGGTATGTGGAACAGTGTGGTAACATGCTATTATTTGGTATGTGTTGTGTTTATGTGACTTGTGAGCCCTCCATGTGTGTTCTTACAGGGTGGAGCAGATAAGTAGATAAAAAGAGAACTTCTCTTAGATAAAAAGTAGGCTTGTCTAAGACTAGGCTCTACTTTCTCATGAAAGCTCTAACACTGAGCAGCATGTTGTGCCAAGGATTTCTCTGTGATTTAGAGGGTACACAAACCAAATCTTTGCCAAGTAACCTAGGAAATAATCCATCAGCAACTAAAGAGTGTAAACAATGGGAAGCCTGTCACTTCCTTGAAGCCAAATTGCTGGCCTGTCCCTTTAATGCACCTAGCTATAAGAAAGAAGCACACTTCCCTTTACTATTCTGTCACAGTGCCAGGTGTAGGCTATTTCAGAACAAAACAAGTCATTATGAGTAATGCACTACATATGCCTGGCCAGGCAACGGTAGTGGAAAGAATTCTGAGAAACTGAACTCAGAATTGCTGCCAGTGCAGAGAGAGATCTATTTGAGTGGAAGAAAGTATGCTCCTTCAAGGAACCTCCTGAGTAAAAGAAAAGAAATAATCTTTAAATGACTCAGTTTTCCTGGACAATTGCACTTAGTGATAAATCTGGGAATAGACGCTACAAACGTCTAACAAACTATGGTGAAACAGTGAACTGATTTTGGCAATTGGATCGGGTGATTTTTACTCCAAACCCATAAAAATCCATGATCAGTACACTCCTAGAAACAAAGATATCAAAAGTAAAACACTTCATCCAAAATCTGCTTGTGCAGTATTTATACAGTACTGTGCAAAAGTCATAGTCCACCCTTTTCCAGTCAAAAAAGCCATTAACCCCTGAAATGGCCAGGGTCCACCAGCAGGCCCCAAGTTTTATTACACACTCCTATAACCTAAGAATAGCTCAGCCAGTTTGCACTGAAGTCCCTGTAGTTACTGAAAAAAAGCCTTAGTATGTAATAAGCTTGAGATTTTAAGTGGTGAAGTACGAGTGCTTTATTATTCAGAAGATATTTCTGATCAGATTAGATATAACATAAACAACTGTCAGTGGTGGTAGGTAACGAAGTACAAGTACTTCACAGACCATTCAGGTTTTAATGATCTATTTGTCTCTTTTATCTCTGTACCTACTTATTTATGTATCTTTGTAATCAGGCAAGTGTATGAAGCGCAAATCGGCTCCCTATTGGATGTGATCCGGGACGGGGGAGGGGAGCAGAGTGAACCTGAGTTTGGATACTCGAATGGCTTCATGGTGAGCACGTGGGAAAAGGAAGAAATATTA